CCTACTAATCCTACTACTGAAAACAGATAAGATAAGAATGCTGAATAGATAAGACTCCCTACTAATCCTACTACTGAAAACAGATAAGATAAGAATGCTGAATAGATAAGATAGAACTGTATCTAGCTGGAATTAGATAAGATGAGAACTGAGAACACCCAATTACTGCTGCTGCCGGCGGCGGCTATACTTCTTCCCAATAAACGCGTCCACATTAAATCCCAACCTATATATGTACATATGTGTATATTATGTATTTATGACATGCATATATGTATGTATATTACCTATTTATACTATCATATGCACCCTAAATTAAATTTAATAATTTACAATATGTACTAGTTATGACCCATGCAATGCACAACTTTGTCAAATGGAGGAGTCCTATGATGTTACAAAGCTTTTCAAGAGGTGCCCCTAATTTATAATTTATGGCCTTATTTAAATTTAACACTAATTAGGCTTAGACTTTAGATACAAATAATTGCTTTCAGAAGTAGAAACTTTAAGAAAAGAGAAGAATGGAAAAGAAGAGAGGGAAAAAATTTTGAGTAAAAAAGAATAAGTGGGCGGCAGCCCTTCTTAACGATAGGGAGACCATAAAGAGGGAAAAAAGACAGATCTGCCCCTGGCACTAAAAATATAACTTAAACTTACATAAACAATACTCCCCTTCAAGTTGGGTCATAGATGTCAATCATTCTCAACTTGTTACAAAGATCACTGTGTTGGGGGCCAGATACACCCTTGGAAAGAATATCAGCCAACTGATTTAAAGAAGTAGCATAAGGAATAGAAATATCACCCAACTCTAACTTCTCCCTGATAAAATGTTTGTCCACTTAAATATGTTTCGTCTTATCATGTAAAACTGGGCTGTGAGCAATGCTAATAATTGCCTTATTATCATAGACAAGGTCCTGGAGTAAGTTCTCCACCCACAGTAACTCAGTAACTCCATGTGCTATAGCTTCGTACTCAGCTCCAACAGTTGACCAGGCAACTACTAACTGCTTCTTACTCCTTCAAGTCATGAGGCTACTTCCAACAAAAGTACAATAACTAGAGATAGATCTTCTATCACTTATGGAGCCTACCCAATTTGCATCTGTACAAGCTTCAAGCTTCAAGTGGCCATGGTTAGCAAATAAAATTTTACCCGGTTAAATAAAACAAAAAAGAACATGGGTAAGTGCACTTGCCCAGGAAAGTAGGTTCCTGAAAAATAAACAGGGCCCAAATGTAGTGATGAGTAAACTTTGCTGTAGATGTTGGTCTAGGGGCATGGACTAAAACTGCTAGGGAAGGGGAAGAAATTCAATCTAGAATAGTATGCAATCCTTTGCGACCGGTGGTGTAAGACAAGCTCACACTGAGGAGATATGGATGTGAGGGGGAGGAGAGAGTTGGAGGTTGAAGCAAAAACATTTGTTTTTGAGGAAGCATCAATCAGTGGAACACCAGCGTTGAAGATACGGGAAGAGAAAAGAGCTTTTATTCTGTTAATAGGAGAAGCTATTGGTTGGCTGAAAGGTTTTGTTGATGGAACGGTGTACTCTGTTAAAAGACAAGGTTGGAAAAGCTCTTTTGATATATGGGGGATGGCCTATGAAGTGGAGATGAGAAGAAACGTGAAAGGATGGTTTATTGCTATTACAGAGTTCATTGGGGATTTCAGAAAATTTTTTATTTGTGTTCCAGAGGCTAGGGAGAGAAGAGGTTGGAAGGTTTTTGTTGATGGCTTACAGGATATGATGACGAGACAAGAGGAAAAGTTGCAGAACATAAAAAAGGTTTATTGCGATGTTATGAAAGATACACCTGAATCACACCATTCTAGAAAGGATTCAAAGGGAGAAGACTCAGTGAATTTGTGCTCAAAACTGATTTTAGCTAGCTCAAATGGCAGACAAAAACTGTTCTTAAGCATGGAAACAGAAGATTGGAGACAGAGGCTGGTTCTTTTTGCAGCTACAGAGGTTACAGATTGGGGAAGGATACTGGAGAGCATCACAGAAAAGTTTTCGCTCGAGTGTCCGGTTTCTGTTTTTCTGTTTGAGGACCGAAAAGCTATCCTTGAAGTCAGGGATGAGTGGTGTAAAGTCTTGAATGTTGAACCGGTGGAGACCCCGGATGGGCCGGTAGTGATTGAACATTGGCACTTAGCTTGCAATCAGCTAATATTTGCTCATGAGAGGTTCATTTAAGATTTTTAGGACTCCCATTTAATCTCTGGAGCAAAGTTTCCCCTGGCAAAATAATCAAAACTTTGGGAGGAAATCTTATTAAGTACAATATTTCAGATCTAAAGACAGTGAAGGTTCAAGTTTTGGGGTTGAAGCCGAGTGATGTTCCTCGAGTCATTGATCACTTTTCTGATGGCTTATGGTTGAAGGTCCGGTGTTTGGCAGAATTTGAAATGTCTTTGTGGAGGAAGAGTTCGAAGGTTGAAGACAATGGGCTATTGATGGGATGGGTGACACGTGGAGAAGGGCGGTTGGGGGAGGTGGGAAGGTTGCAGGGGCAAGCATTTTTGGTATCTGAAAGGGAAGGCGTTTCAAATGGTCTTGATGGGTAGTAATTCAAATGTTGATGATGAATCCCATGGAGGGTCCACGCCAGACTCGAGTATGGGCCCAATTAATAACAAAAACATAAAGGGGGATTTCGGGTCTCGGAGCTCTAATGTGAGATGAAAACCATTTCTTTGAACTGGGCTGGGTTGATGTTTTGAATAAGAGGGGACCACGTGAGGCTTTAAGTTGTCAGGTGCGTCGAGGACCTAACTCATTTAGTAGGCCCTTGGAGGACGGTAACATTTTGTCTATTGTCTTCCCCAGTCGTTAGCTCAGAGAATCTTATTTTGAAGAAAGTGGGCAAAAAAAAGCAAGTTTTCCATCATATTCGATTAGATGCGATGCAACTTTGTCCTAAGGGTGGGTGGTGGTTGTGGGTGGGCAGGAACAAGCAGCTAAGGGTGAAGATGGGTGATCACTAATTTCTAAAAACCGATTTCCTCACCTGTTAAAATAAAAAGGAAGAATGAGACCTGGGAGTGGGTGATCACTAAGTTTGTTCATTCAGGCAATTTGTGCAAGTCTAGAACCCCAGAGGGTGATCACTAAGTTTGTTCATTCAGGCAATTTGTGCAAGTCTAGAACCCCAGAGGGTGATCACTAAGTTTGTTCATTCAGGCAATTTGTGCAAGTCTAGAACCTCAGAGGGTGATCACTAAGTTTGTTCATTCAGGCAATTTGTGCAAGTCTAGAACCCCAGAGACTGAGGTAATGTCAGAGAAGATTGACTCCCAAGCAACCTTAGTGGCTACTCAAACCAAGATTTCACAAGGAAGGGTGATGGGCAAGAATAGAACTGTTTCTCTTGAGAAAGGTTCTCACAGTGGAGAGCAACTTCTATTAGTTAGAGAGGTGGTGAACCAACTTCCTAAGCTTAGCAGTAAGGGGAGTGCGGAAGACAGTTTGGAGAGAGCAGAGATGAGAGAAAATGAGGAGGCAATAAAAGGAAAAGTTCTGACTTCAATGATACAGATAGTTACTTCTGCCCCATTGTTACTGATAGCAGGGAATTGGGCATGGAGTTGGAGATTCAGAATGCCAGGGCTGAAGATGGAGTAGAGGCTGAAGAGGAGATGGAAGGTGAAGACTTTTTAGGTGGACATAAGGAGACCAGAAACCAGATTGATTGCTACAACAAGGATGTTTGGCAATATGAGGATGTGAAGATCGGAAAGTTGGGTGTCGATTTGGGTAGAAAGAGCAACCCTGAAGTGTAGGGGGTTCAAACCAATGAAATAACAAGAAAGAAAGTGTGCAGTTCAAGAAATCATAATGTTGTGCATGTGACCAAGATTTTCTTTAGGCTAAAATTGGGCCTGACAGGAGCAGGCCCTACAAAACATTTCAAATGGGTATACAGGAGAAAAAGATTGAGAGACAATGGGACACATGGTATTGATCATAGGGAGACTGTCTCAGTCATCAGCCTCCCTGGAGCCGAAGGAGCATCAGGAAAACACTTCACGTGGAGGTGATTCCGATTCTGAGGTGAGACAGACGATGCAAAAGGATAACAGTTATGATGGGATGAAGATGTTGTAATCAAGGAAGACATGTCCACAGAGGTTCTTTGAAGTCATAATGCGTCAAGGAGGGGTTTTTTGTTTTCTGTTTTATTGATGGGCTGTTGGGCTATGTTTCTTGGGGATTATTTGGGTGTTCTTGTTATCATATAGTTTTGTGGATTTGGGGTCTCAATGGGTCATTGGGACTTTCTTTTCTTCTCTCAGTGATATCTTATCACCTCCCTGTTGTTTCTCTTTTTGCTTTTTATAAATTTTTTCTCTTTATTCTTCAAAAGCAAATGGTTAGCAAATAAAATGCCTCTCCTTGGGTGCTTCTTCAGATACCTTAAAACCCTTTATGAAGTAGTAACATGTGAGGTGTTTGGAGCATGCATATGCTGATTGAGAACACCAACTGCATATGACATGCCTGGCTGTGTCATAGATAAATACAATGAGTGTTCAACAAGTCCTTGGAACTGTCTTACATTAGTCATGGTTTCCCCCTCATTATCATCCAACTTGTGATCAAGTTCAATGGGAGTATTAGCCGGCTTATACCCAAGTAGCAGATATAGGATATTAGAATATTTTGGTTAGGAACAAGCCAGCCAAATTAACTGATTTATTTATTTTAATATTATTAAACATCTAATCTTATATTAATATTTGTATTTAGATTTTTATATTAAATAAATTTCTAAGATTTGGTGCATTCTGTTATATGATATAACTTGTTAAACTCGTTATATTTCTCATTTCTTTGTTTTTATTTTTGAGCTCAGATGATTGAGGGAATACCACCTTTCCATCCCAAATCATCAGAAGAGGCTGTTAAAATGATCTGTTTAGAAGGAAAGCGACCTCCATTAAAGAGCAAATCAAGAAGTTATCCCCCTGACCTCAAAGAGTAAGTATATTTCTTCATATTGTACTCAAGTTTTCTGAGAACTTCAGGTTGTTTTATTTGACAGTTGAGCATTATCCCAAAATGTAATTGGTTATAGCAAGTTGGTTAAAGCAAGAAGTACACTCTGGGAACTAGGGTATCTTATCTCCCAAAAAGAGAAGCACAAGATTCATTCAAGCGAGGCCCCACTCTGTATTTAAAATTAGGAAAAATAACAAGAAGGGTAGCAGAAGAAACAAATGATGTGCATAGAAGTACGCTCTCTGAACGGACCTACCCCCAAAACATTAGGAAAAAGAATGATTAATATAGGGGGATGAGGAAGAGAAGCCATGAGAAGATGCACAACACTGTCTTGACAGCTTGTTCAATTGGGGGAAAAAACTGAAAAGAGAACTATAAGGAGTGGATGAGCAGCAAGGTAATGCTCTCCTTTTATTAGCCCTAGCCAGCAACCATAGGGCAGCCCAGTGCCCAAGGCTCCCGCCAATGCAGGGTCTGGGGAGTGACAGATGTATGCAGCCTTACCTCTGCACGTACAGAGAGGCTGTTTCCATGATTTAAACCCTGATCACCCAGGTAGCAATGGAGCAACCCAGCCGTTGTGCCAAGGCCCACCCTCCCCTAGCCAGTAACCATGAGCCTCCAAAAATATGGTGAAAAATAGAAGGGGAGAAAGGAGAGAGTATTAGCAATGGAGCTTCCTTCACTGTTTGGTATCATCTGTTGCCATCCTCCAAAAAAACATTATAAAGAAAAAATGGAAAAAGAGAGACAGAAGAGAAAATGGAAGAACAAAGAACTGAGTAAGGATGTATTTATCAAAAAAAAAAGAACTAAGGATGTGTTAGAAAATATCACAATCTTAGGGAAAATTTTCATATATCGAAGGGTGTTCTGGATCATACTGTAGTATTCTCTTTCATAAAAATTAGTGAAGCTTACCTAATGGGTATGATCATGAGAAGTGTCACCAACAGCCCCAACATTCTTTCTCCTTTCAGACCGTTTTGTATATATCTATAACTTGTTGAAAGATACAAAAATTGGGTCATAGTTACAAATGACAAATCTAAAGCAGCATTGGGTGTGGGAAGATTAATGGAAAGGAATTCAGCTCTTACTAAAAAAATAGCTGTGGAGATTTTCCATGGACACTATGTTATTAAGAGATTTCATGGAATGGTTGTGAGAATTAATGCACGAGGTTCGTTTGCCTCTCCCTAGCTAGCTAGGTATTCAAATGCTTTAGACACTCTTCATGCAATTTATCCATTTAGATGCTTATCTGGGTAACAGGATAAGATAATAAGATTTTGGAAGGATCTCTTGGGGGAGGGGAGAACAAACTCTTAAAAGATTCCTGTCTAACCATCAATGCTATTTCCTATTTTAAATTAAAGCCTTTTTCTTGTGTTGTTTCTTTATATCACTCCAGGTTGTCTTAAGGTTTAAGTAGGGCAGGTATTTGAGGTCTTGCCGTCTCGGAGGCTTTGTAGTTGGTTAAATCCATTCAAGGGGCACTCCTTGGTCGTTCCTCATCTGATTCTTACCTTTGGACCCCTAACCCCTCTAATTCTCATGTACTTCTTTCTTCAGAATTATCTCTAGGCCCCCCTCTAGACCAATTTTCCCCGTTGCATCTTTTTGGAGGGGCTGGCCCCACCTAAAATTAGAGCTTTATGTTAGGAGGTGTTTCACATTAAAATTAGTACCTGTGAGAGATTCAAAAGAGAAGACCAAATACCTACTTATCTCCATGCTAGTGTATTCTATGCAATGCATAGAATACCTGAAAGCAGAAGATTACACAGAAGAGAAGGAATAGAAGACGAATCAAATATGAGAAAAGAGAAATCTCCCAAGCCCCAGTTCACTTTGAGAGTAGTGATCAATATACCTCACCTAGATGGTGGCTAGGTATTTATATATTTACTAAATAATATTAAATTACAATAATATCCCTATTTGTGATAAAATAAGGATTGGAGTGTCCTTGATGAACAAAGTAAAAGGACCAAACTGCCTTACCACCCAGAGAACTACAAATAAGCACTATAAACATAAACCGAAATACTCCCCCAACACTCCTTAGCACTCCCCCTCAAGCTGGTGTATATATGCCATTATTAGACCCATCTTGGATATCAATGAAATCAATCAGTGGAATATGCAAAGAATTAGTAAATAAATCTGCAAGCTGATGTTCAGACTTGATGGAGTGCTAATCTCATTACTTTGCACCTTCTCTCAGACAAAATGACAGTCAATTAATGTGCTTTGTCCTTCAATGGTACACTGCATTAGAAGCAATATGCATAGCTTGGTTATCACAAGAAAGATTCATATATAAGCTAAGAGATAGGAATAGCTGACCTCTAAGAAGGCTCTTCATAGTGTCAAGAGATAGCAAGTTCTATATTCTGCTTCATACTTTCCCATATAACCATATTTTCATCAAGAAAAGTACAACACCCCTTAGTTGATCATCATTTGAAAGAGATCCAACCCAACCTACAGGTCCTACACCAATATATCTAGCGATGGCTAATTGGTCATGATCCCTATACAGAATGCCAAGTCCAAGTGATCCTTTTAGTACTATAGAATTCTTAAAACATCATCTAAATGAGGGACTCTGGAGAGCTCATAAATTGACTGGCAGCACTTGCAACAAATGAGAAACCGAGTAATTGTAAGGTACTTCAATTTACCAATCAGTCTTCTATACTGTCTTGGATCATCAACTAACTCTCCTTGATCATTAGCAAGTTTAGTATTAGGGTCCATATGAGTAAAAGCAGGTTTTACACCCTAGCATACCAGTCTCCTCAAGTAAAACAAGTGTATATTTTCTCTGAGAAAGGCATATCTCTATTTTGGACCTTATAACTTCAATACCTAGAAAATACCCCATCTTTCCCAGGTCTTATGTATGAAACCATTGCTGTAAGTATGTCTTAAGTTCATCTATTCCCTTGGGCCAAATGCAATCACTTACATCACTAAATCTGCCAAATCAGGTTTTTGAAGATTGTTTTAGCCCATATATAGCCTTCTAAATGTGAAAATTGTTTCACCATGCAAGAAAGCATTTTTAACATCTAACTAGAACAAAGTCCAATAAATAGTGGCTGCTAAAGCAATAATAACTAGAAGAAAAGATATCTTAACTAGTGAAAAAGTCTCATCGAAATCAATCCCATAGGTTTATGTAGCTACCAGCCAAGCCTTAAGCCTCTCAATGGTCAACAACAATGTTTTGAAAACTGACCCAGAGGTTAACTCCTTTTTCCTCTGGGTGGCAAATCAGTGGTTCAACCATGTGGGTCGAATGGGTCAGCCCATGATGTCATAAATAAAATAGTTTAATAAATAATAAAATACTATATGTGTGTATATGCAGAATTATATACATTGTAGGGTTTATTATTCTAGAAATAATTTATAGTTCCAACCAACCATTCATAATCTATAATTCTATAATTATTTACTTATTTCGTATTAATTTTTTTTTTCTGATTATTAACAAGATAGCATTTTATTAATATGAAAAGAAAAAATATGTACAATTTCAGCTTCTTGCAGGGAGGTAAAATTACACCAGAAATAAAAATAGTTACAATTGAGCCCAAAACAACTGCCCCCTTTTACCCCTTGTTTGGTCAATGTATCAGCCAATCCATTTTCTAATCTAGCTACCCATTGAAATTTGATCTCCATCCTCGAAAATTCATGAGGGGGATTCTAAAGTATGAACATCTGATTGGTTTAAAGTTCTTCTAGTATTATACCCTTCCCAAAATAGATAAATTGCCATTAAAAAAAAAAAAACACACACACAGGCATAAAGTTCAGTTCTTCAAGTGTTATAACACTTTGAGTTTTATAGTTCACAACATGTCTAGTGCGCCTGGTGCACCTTGCACTTCATCCCAGGCATGTTCCTTTTTTTATTTTTTGTGTTTGGTACAAAGATGGCTCATAGAATCAATAATGCAAGATATTTACCATCACATTAGCTATTTGAAGTAATGCAATTGAGGGAGAAAAAGAAAGTGTGGGTTTTACATTCTTGAAAGTGTTTTATATGTTTGATTTTATTTTTAAATTTTCATTTGAATACGCTTTATATGTTATGTTTATGTATTTTAATTTTAAATAATAATTTTTAAAATATTTATTTTAAAACTTAAGTTTATATTTTTATTAATATTATGTTTAATATTTTTTTTGCAAATTTTGAACTTTTTGGCATTTTTTGTATTTTTGTGCCTTGCTTCAAAAAGGCACGCTGTTATGGACGCATTCCTCGGGAAGACGTACCGTCGCCACCGGCAGCAATAGGCACCTGACCCACCGCCAGCAGCAACAGTGATTCAATGATTCTCATCCTACCCAGTTTGGCAACAACAACCTTATCTAGATTAGATTAGATCATCTTGCTTGTTCTTATCTTATTATTCTTATCTTATTCTATTGCTCTTATCTTATCTTATTAGTAGCTTATCAGATTAGGATTAGCTTATCTTATCCTTAGCAAGATAAAACTGGAAGTCTCCCTATTCAACATGGAGACTCCCTTTGATTAGTACTCTTATAATCTCCTATTTAAGGAGACCCCATTATTGAATGAGGATATCGAATATTCAGTTTAAGAACTGAGCTAGGAGAGTTGGTGATCTCTTGGACAAATCACCAAAGGCGCCAAGATAGGTTCATCAAGAGCAGGAAGGAACAAGGGAAAACAGGAGGTTTTCCCCATGGACCGATCCGGGCCCATAACACACGCACCTTGCCCCTTGCGCTTTTAAAACACAACTTTGATTCTGGTTTAAGAAATTCTGTGATGTCGTTGTTGCTGTCGACTATAGCTAGAGACGTGTTGACTATTCTCTCTTTGTTCATAGAAGATCTCATGGCATCACCATCCTCCTTCTGTATGTTGATGTTATGTTGTTGGTTGGGCATGATGAAGAAGGAATTAGAGAACTTAAATCCCTTTTTCATAGTTCATTTCATGTGAAGGATCTAGGTGCTCTTGCCTACTTCCTAGGACTTGGGGTCTAAAGAAGTGATTGGGGATGTTTCATATGTCAAATTGTCAACATAATTACATAAGTTTGCTTTTGATCTTATCAAGTTGGCCGATCGTACTGATGACAAGCAGGTTGATACTCCTTTAGAGTTGAATGTCAAGGTATCAAAGACAGAAGGTTCACTACTTCTTGATGCCACACTCTATTGACAACTTGTGGGCTTTCTCATTTATCCTACTATGAATCATCTTGAAATCTCCAATGTGATTCAGGCTGTTAATCAGTTTGTTTCTGCTCCCCATCAACTTCATTTGATTGTTATTCATCGGATTGTTCAGTATGTTCATGGAACATTATCCTAGGGACGATTCTTTTCCTCCTCTCCTATTTTATTGAGGGCATATGCTGATGTTGATAGGGCAGGCTGCCCCGACACCAGACATTCTTGTGTCTTCATGGGTGATTCCCCCATTTCCTGGAAACGCAAGAAACAACAAATAGTCTCCAAGTCATTTATAGAAGCGGAGTATAGAACTATGTCATCTGATTCCCACATTTCTTGGCTACAATCTCTCTTTGATGATCTTAGTGTTCATCTTCCCACACATATTCCTCTTTATGCTAACAACACCAGTGCTATCAAAATTGTCTCAAATCCAGTTTTTCACGAGAGGACTAAACATATTGAAGTGGATTGTCACTTTATCAAAGACCTACTTCTTTCTAGTTCTATTTCCTTTCCTTGTGTGGCCTCAGATATGCAAATTGTTGGCAGTTTTTACAAGGCTATGACGAGAGCAAGAAATGTCTTTCTTGTGAGCAAATTGATGCTTAAGACTTAGCACCAGTTTGAGGGGGAGTGTGGAGAGTATTGATATATTCTATTGTAATAGTCCCTGCTGTATTGTATTTTATTCTTTCTATGTTTTCTCTCTTTCATCCCTATAAGTGATTTCTTGTAATATACTAGCCCTATAAGGGCTTTCTTGCAATTATACATAATATAATAAAGGCTCTTTAGGGGTGGGGGCCGATTCATTTAACTTTGACACCTCTGAAACCTTGTGTCAGACTCTCTTTGGTTCATATTGTAGTCAAATATGGGAGGAAAGAAACATGAGCATTTTTAGGGAGGGGTAAATAAGTGCTGAAGTAGTTTTTGAATGTGTTGTGGATAGTGCTGGACTAAATCCATGGAATTGTTCTATGATTATTCACATGATGACTTGTGGAGATGGGGTGAAGTGGTTGCAACATCTACAGATAAAATACAAGTCTTTAAACAGTGTACACTGCCTCATGATTAAGGGTGTCAATGGACCAGTTTTGGATTGGACCCTGTCCAGTCCAAAATCAATTTGGATGGATTGGATGGACCAAAAAGACATATTGGATTGGACCAATCTGGTCCAAAATATTAATTAGATTGGATTGGACCTGGTCCATCCGTAACAAATTTATATTGGATTGGGTTGGATTAAGCCAATATCTGATCCATTGATATAAGATAAGAGTATATGTGTCAATGGACTAGGTTTGGGTTGAAACCAATCTAAATCAAAATGAATTTGAACAGATTGGATGGTCCAGACATTTAATTGGACCAGTCCAAATTGGTCCAAAACATTCATTGGATTGGATTGGACCTGGTCCATTTATAATGGACTCACATTGGACTGGATCGGATTGGACCAAATCCAGGCCAATTGACACCCCTACTCATGATGGCTATATTAAAATTAAATTTTGATGGTAGTAGTGCAGAGAATCCTGATCTGTCAGGAGTAGGAGGTGTTTTCAGAGACAAGGATGAAAACATCATTGTTTTATTCTCTTGTCCAATTGGTGTCGAGGACTCTAACATGGCTGAGCACCAAGCTGCTCTCCGGGGACTACAATGGGCAAAGGACTTGAATTTGATTAAATTGATCATTGAAGGTGACTCAAAGGTGGTAATTGGTGGCTGAAAAATGATGAGAATGCAGTATGGGGCTAAAGAAATGAACTTCAAAGATCAAATATTTGCTACAAAATTAGAGCCTAAGGTTCAACGGGGTCTTTAGGCATGCAAATAGATTGGTTGATACTTTTGTTAAACAAGAAATTTCTAGAAACCAGATGCATTGGGTTTTCTTCTAATATGTTTCTTGGCCTATTTTCCTTTACCAATGGGGATAGGGTAGTAACCGCTTCCCTACCCAAGGGCTGTTTATAATACTTTACTGTTTATTTGAGACTAATAGAATCTCTTTCAGTTACTCATAAAAAATAGTAATTATTGGGATTACATAAATAGTAATTTTGAGATAACAGCAAATTTTAAGAAACTTAAATTTTTATTTCTAGAACACTTGCAACTATAAATGATAAAAAAAATCTCAAACAATAACAAATGTTCTATCACCCAAAATTTCTACAATTGATGTAGGAGCGGAAAAACTGATATCCATCTCCATGTATTGTTTCCATGCTTCAATATCTGAATTACCAGCACTGACAACAGAAACCAGAAATCAACAATCACTAACAGACAATATGCCAAGGCTGGTAGATCATCTCAATCATTGTCTGGGCAGTCATAGCTCATGTATAAGAAATATGGCTATTCTAGAAGGAGAATAAATTTCTCTTACAGAACCACAACTACTCCAGGAATTTACTCAAAAATATATCAATCATGTTGCATCATCGAAGAGTCTTTAAACTTGGGTTCTTAAATAGGCTGATGACCAATATGAATCCTAGAAATTTCAGAAAATATTTGCCACTTACCAGAAAATATAAGACCTTTTTTGACATTCTCCAAATTTTGTTCAAAACCAACAATGCAAAAGACCGAACCAACAAAACACCGTATGGATTGTGGAGAGAACCAATCCACAACTCCAAATTTGAATTTTTCAGTATTTATTTCACCAAAAGTCTTGTAAAAATAGCTACTATACCCTGATCTCCATGAACCCTACATCAAAAACTCCCTAAATTCTTCCTCTATACCGTACAGTTCTTGACAACATCCATATAGACAACAATATTAGCAGTCCCCCTAGGTCATTTGGTTTCTGAAAAAATAATATGGATGCAATTCTTCTCTGATGCCACAACTGGAAAATGGAAGAGAAGTATAGAGGAAGAAGAAGAGAAAATGGAAGAGGGGATGTTTGAGAAAGAACAAGTGAGCCAGATGTTCCACATGCTCACTTCAATTTATTATGGAAGTTACAGAGTAAGGATAAATGGACAAAACTACCCTTAATTACATAATACATATATTTCTATGTATTGCTACACAAACAATTGGCAGAACAGACCACATTCCTCTAGATAACCTCTTTACTGCCTGACAGTACTGGTGGACATGTAATCTACCCTTAATTACATAATACACAAGCAGTCCCCCTTGTGTGCTTTGCAGTTGGCTAGGGGCATGGGGTGTCAAAAAATGAGTACACTTACCAACTATGCTGTGTTTCAACTTAAGTGAAGCACTATTTGCGTTCTTTGCTGAGTTTAAGTGCATTAAATGTGCTTTGATAAAACTGTTTACTAGTAATCTATCTTTTGATAATGGATGAAACTTAATTAAATTGAATACAAGGATGTAGGAGGGAAAACTCAATGTAACAGACAACCGAAAGTTAATTCCTTTTCTGAATAAGAGTAGGTAAAGTCAGCATTCTAAGGAAGTCTTGTGATCACATCCTTGGCATTTGGGTTTTTCAGAATTAGGATCCTATGAGTATTTTCTGTATCTCATGATTTCTTGGTAATGTATCTAATAATACATTTTATAGATATTTTGTGCAATGTGAAATCATAGTCTAGTTTTAATAACTTCATTCTCATGCTATTAGATGAAAGAGTTGAAGGTTCAGTGTCAAGGTTAGTGGTAGTTAAACATACTGGGGTTACATCCTTGGCATTTGGGTTTTTCAGATATGCTAAAATGTTAGAAAATAGAGCAGAACTTTGAAATGCATAAAACCATCTAATTTTGATGCAAATGTAAAGACTTACCCAATGCTCTTCTTGCCACCCTTGGTGTTAGGAGGGGTGGATTGAATGCTGACCTAAATGGCAAGTGAGTTAATTTAATGAGATATATGGAATCCAACAATGCACATGCTAATCAGTTCATGGATATGAAACTGGTAGATGCATTTGTATTTATAGTTTCAACAGTAGTGTACAAGTTAAAATCCTCTCCAATGACTATGAATTTTAAAAAATTATATTAAGCACTATAATATCTACAATAAAATCAAAGTTTCTAGGCATATGGAATCAAGGGTGTTGATTAATAGAAAACTTGGAATTAGGGGTTTTATGTTTTAGTCTTTGATGGTGAAATACCAATCCTTTGGCATTTTAAGATGAAAATTTACTGTCATCCCATTAAAGCGAAAATAATGCAGAAGATTCATGTTCTAATACTATCATGGTATCATGTTTATTCAGGTTGATAGAAGAATGTTGGGTCCCAGAATCAGTTGCGAGACCAACATTTTCTGAGATTATTGTACGCCTGGACAAAATAGTTGCTAACTGCTCTAAACAGGGATGGTGGAAAGACACTTTTAAGCTTCCATGGTAATTCTGTCATTATCATTTATCAAATAACCCTAGAAACACCTTTTGATGTGTTCTATAGTATGCCTTCAAATATGACTTTATTTTGGTATTCATTTGTTGAATGAATATGGATTCTTTAATGCATTTGACTTCTAACCATCTAATTAAAATTTTCAGAATTCCAGTTAGTGATTGCTCGAAACTAATTATGGATAATTGTGATAATATATAAATCTATTAGCAGGCTTTCTCATTGTTCTGCCTAAATTGAGGCACATGGTGTAGATGAAAAGCCTGAGTACATCATCATTGTAGTTGTGTTTCTATTCAATGAAGTACATTATCTATTTTTCAAGCATGACTAGTATCTGTCTGCATGCCTATATGAACCCTGCTTGCATCCATAAGGTGATGAAAAGCCTTATCAGTACTATGCTTTTAGATACTGGTACTTTCTTGCATCCAATATGTATATGAACCCTGCTTGAGATAGGGATAATTCAGTAGGGATTCCTTCATGTACAAACTAATAAGATTTTTCAAGGCTCCTATGTAGATTTGTTAACAATGTCATCTGCAAGACAATTATAACCGTTTTCTTTAAATCATTTTCCTCCTAATTCCTTTATACTAGTGTTAACCCCCCACCCCTTTCAATGCCTTCTGTAGACACTACTAGATCCATAGATCTCTGGCTGATTTCCTACAAATCAAAATTGTTCTTTTTTTCATAAAATTCTCTATTCTAAGTTTTGTGTTCAATTCCTTAAATGTCATCACACCTTAAACCCATTTTTCGGTACCACTTATTGTATAGAAACATAATTGTGGATTTGATGACAACAAAAATTAAAGAGAAATAATATATGTAATATAAACCAAAATAGCACAGGAGTTTATGTGGTTTAACAGATTGCTTATGTCTATGGGAAAAAATAAACCCCAAAAAAAAAAAATCCATATATTACAGGAAACCTCAAAACCAGAAAGAGCCAGAAAGAAATTCTATTCCTCACAAGAGAATCATTCTTGTGACCCAAGGCAAATCCCTGTACTAGAGTCAGTACAAAGCCAAATTAAGAATATTTATAAGATTCAAAAACTCTACACTCACATGAATACCCAAAAAATGAAAATGGTTCATAATTTTGATATTGATAAACATTTTGCCATGTAGAGTTAAAGATATTTCGAAGATATTTCACTAATTTTGCTAAGACATTTGGAAAATCTAAATAATCAGGAAGGATTTCTAGAAACACAGAATTAGTTAAAAAAAAAAAAAACTTCAAAAGAAATTAGAAGAAATATAGTTGTACATTTAAGGCTCAAAACCATAGCAAAGAACTATATATAAATCAATTGGGAAAAATTAAGAGACTGAAATAGATATGTTTCTCTTTGTCTCCCTTTTGGTCTTTAGCCATTTTATCTTCTTTATATATGTTAATTATTTGCCATTTTAACTTTTTTTTCTTTATTGTTATACATTTTTTGATTAGATTGAATATACTCTTTTGTGGTTATATGTATTTTTCTTTTTCTTTTGAATCATAGTGACTTGATAAGTGAATCATATCAAAGTAGTAAGCCAATTATATAATCACCAATTTCTTGCTGGTTCTTTTAGGAAAATATTTAAAAAAAAATTATAGTAGTTTTAATGAAATATTGAAAACTTTTTAATAATATTCTAAAATTCTAAATTATATATATATATATATAGTCTATCAATGAAATCTGAAATATTGGCAAAATATCAGGGATGTTTGGAAAAATAAAGATTCCCAGAAGATTTCGTATCACCACCTAGCAAATAGGGATATTTTGGGGATATATCACCAAATATCGTCAATATTGTGAACTATGTCCAAACTAGTTCCAAAAACAACTTGTTTATATATAACACAAAAACTTAAAACCAGTAATAGATGGCAGCTTAGAACTGTTAAACACAAACCTAAAACCACTTGGCATTCATGTGACATGGCTACAGCTTGTTATTCAAAATCTTTGCATATTGTTTCACTGCCATCTTAGCAAAAAAAAAAAAAAAAAGAGTGATCCGTCCTACTTATTTGATCCTATTTTAAATTTAACCAAATACTCATGTCTTTTCTCCATGTTGATGTGGCAGATTCATGTAATGCAACAGTTAAGAAAATGCAGCAATTCCAAATTGTACCTAACTAGGCCATAATTCTCTTTGCTAGTTTACCTGCAGTTTTCTTTTTCTTTTTTTTTTTAATTTTTCAAAATGAATCAAGAACCACTGCCTACTTTCTTATAATCAGACATTGGAAACCATTATGACGTTACTTCTACAGGAAGCTTTGTCTAATTCTTACAATATTTTGTTGCACCTTGGATGCCATTAAGGCATATCATGTTCCAGGAAATTTATTGTTTCTTCCAAACTGGTGCAATCTTCTTTCGTGATCAAGGTTCAGGGACCAATATAAAGATAAAAGCCTAAATTAGTAACTTTCCATTCATAGTGATATAAATAATTTGAAGAAATAAATAAATGGAAAATAAAATTTTCATGCATCTGAATCAATCTGTATTTAAGTCCATTGAACTTCCGGTTTTCCTGATTTACCTGTGGCAGTTTTTTTGACGGAAGGTTTTGTAAATTTCTGCATTTACTTTTGTTTATGTATTTTTTATTCCAATATAAAAACGTTATCTTATTTTCTGCAGGAAATGAGCCAAGTACTTATGAGAGTGGAAAAATGAAAGCATTGAGAAAGGAGCGGATTGTAATAGTGTTACTATGGTACTAAGAATGGTTCTTGGAACAAATAAGAGGTCTTAAATAAAAGCCTGGCTAAATACCAAAAAAAAATAAAAGCTTGGTTAGGCCAGTAGCTTAGTATGGAAGTAGAATTATTCTTATATATATAATACATGAGAGTAGTGGACACATGTCTATATATAATAAGCTCCTAGCCTCCCTATATTGTATTTGATTTAACTGCTACAATGCACCACCATTCCAGATTCTTGCATTCTTCAACACTAATTTCCTCTTTGTAGATTAGTGTAGTTGAACTGACCTGGTTCTATGAGATCCCTACCCTTGGTCACTTCTTATATTCAAGGTTTAAAATACCAATACAATATGCCCATATATGGTGTATTGTATGGGTTTACAATGTTTCTGATACATGGCACAGGTGGAATGGCTAAAACCCAAATCCTATTTCACCTCTACCCAAAGACCAAAGTATTGACCGATGCATTCATTTTATCAGTCTGATACGGTTCAATACAAACTACAATGTATGTGTAGCCGATACACATTGGAATTTTGAAACACACCTACTTTTAGAAATTTAAATTTCCCCCTATTATATGACAATTATTATCTTCATACGTTTGTTTAAAAAATATGCTGCAATGGAATTGAACCCAAGCCTCTCTCCATGGCAAATTAGAGTCCCTCCACTACACGCCACAACACTGTTAAAAAAGCATAAGTTTTAATTTACTGTTAACCCAAGTTTATGAATTCTAAAATTAATGTGTTAAGTAGTATTAATAAAACTAATATTGTTTTCTCAAGGTATACATCTCTTAATTCATATGTTTGTTACACGTTTATACCTTATTTTACTTTGTTTCTTTTCATTTGAGACTTAGATTTAATGCCAATGCATTCATGGGATAATTTCCTTAATTTTTTCATGCATCTTATAATCATTCCACCATACCTGTGTATCCAAAGTGTATTGCATGCATATCCCATCAATACGCTTCCCAAACTACTCACTTTTCAATCTTTCTTGCAACTACTTGCATTTTCTTCACTTTAAGTGCGAAGCACCATATTATGTAGCCCATCTTTGTGCCTATTGGAGCTTGTGATAATTTTGTCATTGTTCCTACACAATTTGCTTAGAGAGATTAGAATGTGTAGTAAATGGATTTAAAAGGAATGATGAGTGATCCGTAACGAGTAATCGACAATGAAATGGCAAGTTCCTTTTGGCTTCCTTTCCCTACCTTCAAACCAAACAAAGCCTTAACGCCAAGAGAATCAAGTTCAGAACCTTCCCCCATTGTTGAGAAACTCAAATAGAAAAACCATACGGAGAATAGAGGTGAGGTTAGGGGAGGCTAGATGGAAACAATAGAACTAGCCATACAAGGAGATACAAAAAGGTTGCAGTGGAAGGGCCATGACCGTAAGAAGGCAAGTGGTAGTGAAGGTGGGTAAGAATGCTATTTATGCGATAACTGATGGGTCTAGGGAGTTTGCAAGGAATTTTATTTGAAGTGGTGTTTGGTCAAAAGATTAGAAGGAAATCCATCTTTGACCTTGGCAGGTCTTGGGGATGTTTTGACAAGAAAATGGGGGTTGGTTCTACCATTGAGATGAGGAGTCTCCCAAAAAGAATGTTCCTCCAAACTTTAGATAGGTCGCTGGTATCCGGGCATTGGCATCAAGGAATGGTATGCCCCAACACATTGGAGTGGAGACCTGGGATCAAATCCCTACTGCCACCAGGGTTGGGGGTTAAGGAAGGGGGATAGGCTATCCCCAATTGTGTAGCCCTATGAAGAGAGAAAGAAAAGGGGGGGGGGGGGGGGGGAATGGGTGAAACCAGGGTTCAAAATATTGATATGCCCAATACGCCAGTAGGGGCATATCGATACTGTTTTTTATACTTTTTTATTTTTTTTTTCGAAACTAGTTTAGGGAAGTGGTTTAAGGCTCCTCCACCCTTTGGATTGGTTAGAACCCCGATACACCCATTATAGGGGCATACTGGGGAGGTCTCGGAACGACATGTATCGGCCGATACATGTCGGTACTTTGAGCCTTGGGTGAAACCCTCCTCTAAGCAACAGATTGTGAATGAATGCCTTGATTTATTAGTCATCCAGAAAGAGTGACATTAGTTCTAGGAATAACCCCTCAAACAAGGAGGTGGCCTTGGCAAAATGATAGAGACATCCAAACGTTTGTTTTTTGGTAAATGGGGGAGGGTATGAAAAATTTATCCACGTTTATTTTTTGGTATTTATGAGTCCCATAGAGAATTATTTTCGTGCATTGTAGTTACCTAGGTAAGTATTACCATTTGCCCTAGGTAAATAACATTCCCGCTTGTAGGAAAATTGCTAATACATGATAGGACAACATTGTCCCTTTAACAAGACACTTTTATGGATTAAATGACCATTACTTAATTTTACTTGGGAAACAAAAGAACATGGGTTTTGTGGTTTGAAACCGGGCAACAAATGAAAGAGGAGAAGTTGGAAGTGAGACGAGTTGAGGAGGTTGGGTGAGTTGAATTGTTTTTAAAGGCACTTGCAAGAAAGGCAGAGATTTCTAAGGTGGTCCCAAGGAAGACCTCTTTGATGTTTAAGTCAATAAATAGGCAATAGGTCGTGAGATTGAATAGGGAAAGCTAGGTTGGCGAAAAAAACAAGAGGGTGAAGCAAAGGCAAAAAGGGGGCTATAATGTGTGTACCTTTTCTTGGGTGTGTCTTACATATTTATAGAGGAAACATAGTGCTCATCAAGGAGTTCTAATCCTATTGGGAGATGGTTGTGGGGCCCGGCTTGAGTTCTTGGTAATTCTCCTCATCACAATCTAAGCATATTGGAGGCATTTGGGTGAAACCAGTTGTTCAGGTTGATTGGCTAGTCTAGTTCAAATCATTGGTGAGTTCCTTGAGTGTTTGGTTCCGGGACATGTGGTGGCTCGGGATTGGACGGCATTTATGGGCCCATCACTTTCCTTCCACTTTCAAGATTATAAAGAGATATTTGTATTTGGTTGTATTTGGGTTTTCTTTCAGGGAGTATTGGAGGTTATAGGGGTATATTTGTAATGTCAATAAACTTTGAGGATTTGTATGTTTTTATGGAAGAAAAGGGGTCCATGTGTAATTCTGATATAATATGGTCTTTTGCTTATTTAAGTCCTTACTAGGATTAAGTGAAAGTTGATGTTTTGTATCTCTTATTCTCATAGTAGATGTTTTCCCTCTCTCCCCGTGGATTTTGGCCACCAATCCAAATTATGTTAAATCTTGGTACTCTCTCTTCTTCTTTCTATTTCCTTCTTAGTTTATTATTCTTCTTTCCTACTATTTGACATGGTATCAAAGTAGGTTTAGTGTGGGAATCAGTTCTAGTATTGGTGGTAACTATGGAAGTGGTGAAGGAAGTTATAGTGGCACTGGTAGTGATGGATATGGTGGTGACAATTTTGATAATGGAGGTGGCAGCAACGATGCTACAGTAGTGGGGGTTATGGTGGAAGTGGTGCTGGTGGTATCTATAGCACTAGTAGAGGAAGCTCTAGTGGCTATGGTAATGTCAGTTCTAGTGGAAATTATGGTGTTGCAATAGTATAGGTGGTGAGAGCATGTTAAAACAGCCAACTGTTGTCATTAATAGTCGACTATTATAATTAACAATTGACTATTACTATTAACAGTCGATTGTTACAATTAACAATCGACCGCTACTCTAGAAAATAGGCTTTGATGCCTTAAGTTGTGGCTATTTGTGAGTTGATAAAAAGACCAAAAAGGACTAATCATCCCTTTAGAAAAAAGGATTTAATGTCTCAAGCTTTAGAAAAAAAAAGCTTTAGTGATATCTTGGTGACAAGTGTAAAGCTTTGTGATGTCTCGGTTTGTGTGGTGATATCTTGTCAGCATGTGTGTTAAGTTGTGGTAAAGTATGTGATCATTTGTGGTGTATTGGTGGACTATTAATAAGTGTGTGAAGCTCCCTTTGTATACAAGTTCATTCAACTTTCTAATATCAAACTTTGGTCCCTAAGACATCCTTCAACATCCCAAGTTTCATGGTTGCTACTTTAATAGTACACCTTTTTATGGAGGTTACTCAAACATCTTTACTTGCAAACTTTAGCTGATTTCTCCACCTTAAGTTTGAGGGAGGGTATAGAGAGATATATTGTATTTGGTTGGAGGTTATAGGGGTTTATTTGTAATGTTAATAAATTTTGGGGATTTGTATGTATTTATAAGAGGAAGAGGGGCTTGCGTGTAATTCTAATATAATTTGGTCTTCGATTGTTTGGGATCAGGATTAATTGAGAGTGGATGTTTTCCCTCAATTCCCATGGATGTAGGCCATCGAGCCAAACCGCGTTAAATCTTGGTGTTCTCTCTCCTTTCTTTTTCCTTCTTGGTTTACTATTCTTCTTTCCTACTGTTTGATAGAGACCAAGGTGTCATCTTGTTGCTCGTATAGTGAGAGTTCGGCTTGGTAAGTAATCCAACTATCCATTCATGTGAAAGGTCAAGCCCAAGCTATGTTATAGATATTTTGAGGAGATGTAGCGGTCTTTCTACTTCATGTTATGTGAGTTGTATGTGTTTTCTAGGGGGTTGTGTTGCTTTTGCTTATGTGGTTGGCATGGGTGTTACTATTAATGTGTTGTTTCATCTACTAAGGCATCTATTAGAGCGACCTCTTAATCGTAAGATGCTTGGAAGATGTCATATCGAGGTGAGATCTAGGCTATTGACAAGCAACCAATTTGAGTTGTTCAAGGTCCTATTTAAGGGGGCCCCAAGAGGTTCAAATTATGCCATTTGCTTCTAGAGTCTCTTGGAAGAGTAACCAAAGCTAGATCATTATGCCATCTTCATTTAGTTCTAGCTACTTTGATTCTTAGTCCAAGCATTCTAGCTTGGCATCAAAGTTGGTGAGTGCCCACTCTAGCTTAGCTAATGAGGCCATCGAGACTTATGTTGGGGACAAACCTATTGTCAAGGCCAAGGATAAAGAGGTTGAGGTCCAAAGTTAGATACTAGTTATGAGCACCTATGTTGAGGTAGAGGTCCAAGCAAAGGGCATTGAGGTAAATGTTGTCAATGTAGACGATAAGGATGAGGGTGTTACCGAGGTGGGGAGTTCATGGTCCAAGGGACCGAGTCAGGGGATGAGTCGTCGTTTGAGTTGCCTGAGGTGGGTGTTTGGCTTCTCAAGAGTGTTATGGGACAAGAAGACATGATAAG